GCCATGCTTTCAAAGCTGTGCCATGCCAACGTCTGCCAGTGTGCAGAAGGTAAGGAATGACTACAGAAGCTGGTCTAAAGGAAGATAGTTACTTCTAAGAACAATTTACATGGGAATCATTAAGCTCAGAAAGGACAATTAGAATTGTCTTAATGTGTAATAACAGGACACTTTCATCCTCTAGAATGTTCAGTATCAAGTCAATTTTTTTCAATTATATCCAGGATCTTTGGATGTGTAATCTACATCTATCTACATATCCATGCCTGTAGGGTGTATGACTTATTTTCTTCCCTCCAGGTCCCTGCCCAAGACAAAAATCAACTTTCAGTAAAACACTAACAGAAACCACGCGTGTTAGTTTTGTCTGCTACCAACCCACTGCAGATTATGGTAAGGCATGAAAGAGAACTGTTGATTTCAGCATCACTCATCTTAATAAGTAGAAACTTGTAGTTTTACGTGCCCAGACATCTCCTGAATTGAGTAGGGTTTCCATATGTGGCTGAGAGGCTGAGGAGAAATAAACAAAGGCATGAGCCATTGTAGTCATCAGGGCAGTGAGGTGGAAAGCAAAAGCCTTGGAAAGATGCAGCAAGATGCTGGGGGAAAGAGTGGACATGACATTACAGGGTTTAGAAAAAAACCCATGGTGTGGTACCAAAAACACCTACATCACTCATGTTACAGGATGTAAAGAATAGGGTTTCCATGGCATGTTATAGTTCAGTAGCTCCTTCTGCAGAGCTAGATGAATATTTTTCTCTTTGTTAATTTGCCTTTCTGGCCTCTTCTTTGGATAAAAAGTTGGATAAACTACTGTAGGAAAACTGGTTGGGCACCAGTAAGACAGATGCTAACAGAAGGACAGGAAAAACAGTGAAAACCTAACCACAGAGGAGCTTCCTTGAAAAAATACAAAGAAAGGAATACAAATTTAGAGTCTCTTGATTAATAACTCAGTGGTTTGTGAATAGATGGTACACTGGCTTGTGTTCAGACACTTGGTAAAAGCACACCTATTATTCAGTCTTTGGATGTATTTTCATGCTGCCATCTGGCATCACTGAGCTGCTGTCTTTTGCAGTATACGAAGTGGAGA